ACCCTGCTAGCAGCCACACGGCGGCTAATGATAAAGGAAGTATGACACTACTGACAAAGACAAATGTATGCCTGGCTGATGACGGCTAAGGAGCCAGAAAAGTCCATTCAAGTCTCTCTTGTCTCTGTCGGTAATGTCATTCTGCCCATATCATTAGCCGCTCTGCGACTGCTAAAGGGGCATGAGAGTCCGTCTGAAAGCAAAATCGGAAGGAATTTTTCCTGTGTTCGATTAGTGCGCACCTATCTGCCACTAAATATACAATGCATAACTGTTAGAAAAATACCTTTAGGAGGCTCGACAAGAGTGCCACATCTTGTCAGGGGCGATCGAAAATTGTTACGGATAAAGCCAGTAAAATTAATGTCGATTGAAGTGATAGAATCCATTTTTGACATACCAAAGTTTGCAACTGGTCCAATCACCTGCTCCAGTGCGCTAGTTTGAAATGTGTCTAATCGACTAAAGGCATTTGCTTCAGAAGACTCTGGTTCAAGGCCCACGAGGTTTCCTCCACGTTGGGTGTGAAGTGTCAACAAGGTAATCGGCTCCTCATGAAAGTCGTGCGGATCAGTTTCAACTGCAATACTTAGCCAGTCTATGTAGGCGTAAACGTCGATACGAAGTTCATACGAAAACTGTTTGATCTCTCCGTTAAGCAAAGAGATAGGAAACACACATTTTGGCGTCAATTCCAGGTCCTGCAAATTGAAAAATATCGCAGTAAAAATTTAGCACTGCCTTAATAAAGCTGAGCATTCGAAATGGTTTAGGTAATTCCTATAAATATTTCCACTAAATACTCAATAACATGCCAAAAGGAACTATATGAAAACCACAGGAAAATTTCAGAAGATTGTGCAATGGTTGTAAAAGGAAGAACAGTATGGCCATATTCTGGAGTTTTCAGAACATGAACAATCACTCGCGGAACGGTATTAAGCAGGACTGTAGTACTGATCATTGCGCAGACTAATCTTATGCCATTTCAGTTATGGCAGAATGCTGGATTTTCAAAGACCTTCTATCTGACAACTTTAAATACTTATTTTCCGTTATAAAATGGGTACTTGAGAAATTTGCATTTAACGAACTGCTGTTGACTGCCCCTATAATTTCAAATATATTTCATAGAAAATGTTCACAAAATTAATCTTCCTTGCACTCATTTGGTAGTAACTAAAGTCTCTTTCGAAGGGTATATCTAAATTAAAAAAGTTTATATATAACTCAAGAGTTTTTAAAATCTATCGACGGTTACAACTGAACTCAAGGTTTCAAAACTCTGTGCTATGTTCATCCTGCGTAAGGC